ATTATCATAGGTAGCTTTTATTAGCAGCATGCAGTTCATGACTTTAGTTAATTTACCCATTACTAGGTAATCTACCTTCTATTAGATCCAGGCTATGATTGTGATAGGCCTACATCTGGGGGGAAAAATTACAAGATATCTTCATGAAAATGAGCCAGACTACCTGGATACCTGATGTATATCTTTGTGTATATATATATATAAACGTAAGTAAGTTTTAGGGTAAATAAAATGGTTCAAGTTACCCTTAAAATAGTAATAATTGGTGTTGCTTTTACAAACCATTGTATTTAAACTTCCCATGGAAACTGCTCTTGACTAACTTCTAGTAGCACTGTAACCTTGGGCTCTACGTGCAGGGACAGTATGGAGACGGTAAAATAGCTTTGAACTGTCAGACATGCTACATAAAGTCAAAGCATTGGTTATTGCAGGGTTTGGGGAAAACAGAGCATTTATTTCTGAGGTGCTTAATTTGGGGCAATTACCAAAAAGATACTTTTATTTTACAAAACTTTGCACTATTTGATAGTGTTCATTTTTTAACCCTTCTGGAAACTGTTGCGTTGCTGCCATTTCTTTGATCTCCTTTCTTTCTGACCTCAATTTTAAGGGTTTCTTCAAAGGTTCTCAGCGTTCCATGCTGCCCTGTCCACTGGCTCCTCTTCCTCCTGTGCTCTCTCTGGGCCCTTGTATACGTTCTCCCAGTTTCAACTGACACTGATGTGTCTCATAATCCCAGTCCAGGTCTCTCCTCCAGCTTCAGACTTCAGGGTCACAAGCACCGCTGTCAACATGTGCAAAACGGAACCCCATAGTCCTCCATTACCTGGTCCCTACCCATCTCTCTGGTCTCATCTCATGGACTCCCTGTCTTGAATTAAAAAAATTTTTAAAACTATATATATATATATATATATTTATTGACTTCAGAGAGAAGGAGGGAGAGGGATAGAGAGACAGAAACATTAATGATGAGAAAAATTGATCGGCTGCCTCCTGCACGCCCCCTACTGGGGACTGAGCCTGCAACCCTGGCTTGTGCCCTGTCCTGAACTGTGACCTCCTGGTTCATAGGTTGATGCTCAACCACTGAGCCACGCCAGCTGGCTTCCCTGTTTTGAATTTGGTGCTGTAAAAAGAATAGCTGTTGGTTGAGCACTTACTATGTGTCACAGGCATTGTGTACCTTACTTGCATTGTCTTAATTTTTGGGTGAATATTGTTATTATCCCATTTTACTGATGAAATTCTGAGAAATTAAATAATGTATTCCAGGTCATATAGCCTGTAAATGGCAAATCTGGGAGTTGAACACAGATATAACACCAGGTTTGTAGCTATATATATATATATATATGAGTGCCCACAATCCCTATTATGTTACTTATTACTATAGTACAAATATACTGTACATCTTACAATATCAGAGTTCTTTCCATATCAACCTTTCTAGTTTGGTATATAATTAAAGATCAGGAATAACTGTAATAAGAGTGAAATGGTCACTTTCAACTTCTAAAAAGCTCAGATTATTTACTATTTGATAATACTGGTTTCTTAAGTAAAAGTATGTCACGTTCCTTTAGACTCAATACATGGTTGTATTGATTTGGGATTATGTATGAGTCAAACAGTCCTGTTCTCCTTTTGTTTAAGGCTGCTGTACCGAAGTGCGGTCTTAACCCCTGGGTTCAGCAGCTCAAACCCTGCCCGTTCTCCCTCCCCTTGCTCTGATGTCTTTTCAGGCAGTGTTCTCAGTCTGGAATCTCTTCTCCTTTTTCTGTTTTCACCTACCCCTTGCTTGGCAAACTTCTCCACTATAAGAACTCAGCTGAGGCATTACCTTGTGTAAGAAGCTTCCCTGATCTTCTCCTGTATCTCTAGCTGGATAAAGTACCCTTGCTCTGTTTCCTGTAGCATCTTGTGTGTATAGGTGAGCATTTTAAACTGTTATCATGTCACAATCTACCAATATTTGTTTACATTTTAGTCACTCCCATTAGAGCATGAGCACTCTGGCATAGAAAACATGTCTCAGGTATTTTTGTGTCCACAATGGCTGATGCCTACTTTTTTTTGAATTACTGTCTGACCAAATGACTAAATGATTGATTTATTTTGGGGCAACTTTTCTACATACTGTAAACCTAAGAACCCTTTATATAATTTTTTTTTCAATTGAAGGGCTAATGTATTTGATCAATGATCATAAGATTAAAAGACATAGACAGTCTTTCATCTTAGTGTTGGTCATAGAGCACCACAGCCCAGCTGTTTCCAATCAGTGACAATTTACTATATTTTACAAAGCTATAATGACATGTACATTTTAACATGCATTAGATTGTACATCTTCATTATTTAAAGAGTTGCATAGAATTTTGAGTGTTAGGTAAATGTTAACTTTTTAAATTCATTCTATTATGAATGTATAAATTTAGTTTTATTAAGGCATTGTAGGAATTCACACTGTGATTTTTATTTGTATTGCTAATGTTATGTTTATTCATTAAAGCTTTAATTACCTCAGATATTTAATTAAATCCATGTTTTCAAATATATGTCTTAATGATCTTAAACATTAACTACTTGCAAGGTTAGTCAAAGTAAAAATAGAAATCCAGAGAGGCTTATTTTGTGCTAGTCTCAGCATGATTACAATTTTCCGAAGTGATTTTTGTGTTTGAAGGATTTTTTTTTATTTGAACCTAATATCTTATTAAAAAATGGAAAACTTTTAAAAAAATATATCTTTATTGATTTCAGAGAGAGGAAGGGAGAGAGAGAGAGAGAAGCATCAATGATGAGTGTCATTGATCGGGCTGCCTCCTGCATGCCCCCTACTGGGGACAGAGCCTGCAGCCCTCGGCATGTGCCCTGAACTCCTGGTTCATAGGTTGATGCTCAACCACTGAGCCGGACAGGCTGGGCCAAAATGGACAACTTTAAAGGTAAAAGCTAACATTCTTGGTAGCTAGCTTTAAGAGGAATGTGTAATAATAATAGTTTGGAAGGTTGTTTTTTAACAAGAATGGGGGTGTGGGGGGAAAGGTATATATAAGATTTTTTACTTTGCCTCATAAGGGATGGGAAAGGTTTTATGATGTTTCTAGGAACTGCTGAGCCAGTTGCTGCATATTTGTAGTATGGTCTTCCGTGACTTCTAGAATAGGCATAGTTGCCTGTTATCTCTTCCTGTGGCTGCCTGTGCTTTCCCTTTACAACAGTCATCACACATAATTACCTCTCCAATGCCTATTTTCTTGCTAGGCTGTAAGGTTTATGAGGCCTAGAGATTGTGGATGTTTATTTGTTACTGTATAATAGGTGCTTAATCAATACTTATAGAATAAATGATGCAAACAAGCAGAAAATGGTGATTTGTTCCCAAAAGTAATTGTTTTGGTTCATGGTGATGTTAGTAGCACTGTAGATCTTGAACTGCATTATAAATTATTAAAGAGCAATTGAGTTAACTTTAATATAATTTTAGTCTAACTCATTGAATATGTAGTATCTTGAATTTTCTAAAATACTGTTTAAAATACTACATTATTTATCTTTTTTTTTTAGTATAGTCATTTACTCAGTTTTGTTTAGGAAATTATTTTGCATTTAAATCTTGTTCCTTGATATTTGGTAGTTACGAGTTTTTCAAACAAAATAATAAATTGTACTCTAAATATCTCACATCTTTCTTAAGAAGTAAACTTATATTTTTAAAGTTGATAATGCAGGTAAAATTTTTGTCTTGGGATGATTGCCAGTGAAGAATGACTATTCTTAGCAGAAACCCTGACTCTACCCAATAGGAGTGTGGCCCTGTGGTTTTAACCCAGCAGCAGTGTTATCGGGTGGCTTTCTTTTTATATTCCCAAATCTATTGTGTTAATGGAAGGTCTCATCTCATATTGTGCAGTGGTGTAGCCTAGAACAGAAATGAGCTTTAGTGGTGGACTGAATTATCACGTTAATAGGACTAGTATAATAGGTTTGTTCCTTTATACCTGTCCCAGGTTAAAGAATTCCCTAGGATTTAGGTGAATTAGGTTCTGGTTCTTTGTAACATATTCATTGTCTTATGTCTTCTGACTCTGGGCTTATGTTTTGCATTTTCAATTGTAAAATTGAACTAGACTGTATTTTTTCCCCCTGACTCTGAAGTTTAACTATATCATCAGAAACATTTTAAACTTTATAATTGTAGTGCTTTTTCAAAATACTTAGCATTTATGCCTGGCTGACATGGCTCAGTGGTTGAGCATCCACCTATGGACCAGGAGATTGAGGTTCAATTCCCAGTCAGGACACCTGCCTGGATTGCGGGCTTCATCCCCACGTGCAGGAGGCAGCTGATCAATGATTCTCTCATCATTGTTGTTTCTCTCTCTCTCTCTCTGTCTCTCTCTCCCTCTCCCTCTTTCCCTCTCTCTGAAATCAATAAAGATATATTTAAAAAAACATAAAACAGCATTTAATAATCATGTTACTTTACTTAAGATTTATACTTGGTAAGGTGCTATACATATCTAAAAACAGAGTTGAACAGACAGGTAGTGCCTAGAATATAACAATAGTTATTTTCTTAAGTACTTTCACATGAAAAAACAGATTTGTGATAATCCTTAGAATTCAATTAACTAGAAATTTCAGTTTGTGGTCATGATACATACATAACGCATATGTTAGACTTCATCTCCCTCCCTCTGTTTTTCTTTTTTCCTTTCCGTTATTTCTTCTCTATTCTCTGGGTTTCTGTTGTACAATTTTCCCGGGGTTTTTTTGCTTAGATAAGAAAAGGATTATACTTTAAAGGTATTCTTCAAAATTTTGCTTTTTAAATATATATTCATCATTTTACCCTTAGTATCTAGCAGATTGTTTTGTACAGTAGATGCTCCTAAATATTGCTTGAATGAATGTATTTACTTTGATTTCCCCGCCCCCCAATATTGAATTAACTCAAAAAGTGATTTTTAAATTTTTGTTATTTTAAGAAAGGTGACTCTTGTGATGGTGGGACTTGATAATGCTGGCAAAACGGCAACGGCAAAGGGAATCCAGGGAGGTAAGCTGAAAATATTTATTATTAAATTATTCTGATTTATTATTTATTTAAATTGCTGTATTACCTATTCCTTGAGTACAGCTAGTGTGCACTCCATCACTTTATATTCTCACTATACTGTGGCTAATGTGAATAGACCCTGGCTTCATTGTGCCAGCCTGTTATCCTACTTCAAATTTGAATATATGCAAAGACACAGAGACTCCTTGAGGTCTTTTATCAGCTAATAGGGATCACATCAATCTTTTAGCCCATAGGAAGGAAAACATAAAAAAAAACACCTACATGCGTTTAAGGGTACCCATCTTCTACTTACGCTTTCTTGGCCAGAGTTTAGTCATAAGGCTACACTAAATGAAGAGGAGGTAGAAATATAGTTAGCCAGCACACCTGTCTGCATCTTTTTATTTTTTTAAATATGATATGTAATTTTGAGAGTTATATTAAAGATAGGGCCTCTGTGTCATTAAAGGGTTTTCTGTCATTTATATTACAACTCATTGGATATATTTCTTTAGTCTTAATTTAATGCTTTGTCCTACAATATAGAAATAACTGTGCTATGGAGTTTTTTGAGTACCCAGGAAATGTAGCACCAGCCAGGCATCTTAAGGGTATGAATTGGCAGAAAACCTAATATATTTATTTCTGAAAATGGATGTTTCAAGAAGATACCATACATACAGATAGTCAGTGGGGCTTTTATTTATGGAAGTTTATGAAAGAAAATTGACACCTTGCAAAACTTGCTATTGGATAAAAACATTTTGTTTCCTCAAATTTTACTATGTAACAGTAGATGTAATTGACATATTGTCTGTGGATTATTCTAAAGCCTTTTTGGTTCCCTCATGCTATCTCCTGGGTTATATCCTCGCAGAGCACTCACTGTCATCATCTAAACAGGGCTGGCAAACTTCTGCAAAGAGCCAGACAGTAAATATTTTAGACTTTGAGGCCCATATATGCTCTCTTTCCCAACTGTGCAACTCTGACATAGTAGTATGAAAGTGGCCATACACAGCATGTCAACATGGTCATGTTCCAATGAAACTTTGTTGTGTTATGAAATATTCTTTTGCAATTATTTTCCAGTGTAAAACATTCTTAGCCCGAGGGCCGTACAAAAACAGCTGGTGAGCCCTAGCGGGGTGGTTCAGTTAGCTGAGCATCACCCCATATTCCAAAAGGCTGCGGGGCCCACGCAAGAGGCAACTGGTCAATGTTTCTCTCTCCCATTGATGGTTCTTCCCCCCTTTTTCTCTCACTAAAATCAGTAAAAAGCTATCCTTGGGTGAAGATTAAAAAAAGTTGGTGAGCCAGATTTGGCTTTCAGGCCGTGACTCCTTCATGTAAACATCTTCCATTCCTTCAGAGCCTTACATTGAAGGGAGCAGACTCTGGGAATCTAGTCAGGTCATCGCATTTGTTATGTGTACTTGGAATACCCTCCTTCCATTAGGCACCTCCTTTTCCCATTTCCACTTCCATGTATCCGTCAGTTTCTTTATCTGAGTTTAGAAAATGCTCAGAGTGTCAAAGGAAAAAATAGTCAAAACTGCCTTCAACTTTGAGCTCCTTTCTGGCTCTGATTTTGTTCTTCATCTTTACTGTTCAGCCTACTCCAGTGATTTATTTTTTTCCTTTTTTTCTTTTTTAAAGATTCCAGTTATATAAAAATACTTGAACTTTTCCAAATTGAGCCTTTTCATGCCTTTGCGTTATTGTTTATACTGTTTCCACTTGTCTTGGTAGAGAGACTATCTGCTTATCTTTAAAGACAGAATATCTACTTATCTCTGAAGACTTTTTTTTGTAATATAGTCTCCTAATGAAATCCATTCTGATCTTCTGCTGCCTCACCCATTACCATCAATAGAACTGACTACTTCCTCTGTTTTGTCCTACTCTTACCTGTACTGTACCTATACTGTACCTGCTTGTATTACTACTTACTTGCCCTTTCGTTTATGTATCTCTGCACCTCTCCAAATGGTAAATTCCCAAAGGGCAGCTTTACTCATTTTGCTGTCTCAGTTCAGGCCACACCTTATGTGTAGTAGGCAATATTCTTAAAAACTTTACTTATGACTTCAGTTTATTTCTGGCTCTTCTCTGTTTCTTTGTTATTGATATTTGCTTGTTTCTTTTGAGATACATCCCCTTCCTATATTGCCATTGTCTGAATCCAGACCCACAGTGTCTTTATCTTTAACGTTACTATAGCTTCCTTATCTGAGTACTTTCCCTATCTTGAGCTTAACTTCTTTCAAAAATCAACTTCTCTTCTTCATGGCTGTCAAAATTATTGTATTGATTGCATATAGGTGTGGTTGTTCTAACAGAGACCTAAAATAACAGTGGCTTTACAAAAGAGAAGTTTATTTCTCTCAACAGCACAGTCAAAAAGTATTTAGGGTTGGCAAAGCATTTCAGTGGTGTTAGTGACTCAAGTTCCTTCTCCTATTTGCTTTGCAATTACAAGTGTTCTCCCTTGCCTACCTGCTCCAAGGTGGCTCATGACTGTAGTGCATTTCAGCTGGAAGGAAGAGATAATGGTCAAGGGGAGGCCATCCTCCTTTCCTTTAAGTGTGTGACTGGAAGCCACCACCTGCCATTCAGCTCACCTGCCATTGACTAGAATCAGTGGTGTTCTGGATCTGGCTCCTTCTTGCACTTATTGCCTCGTATCAGTTAGCAAGAGCCAAATATGCAGATCTCTTTTCCAGCTCTGTGTTCTGCTACCTCATGTTGGTAGTTTGAAATTGGCTATAGTGGGAGTATTTACACCATGGAAATTGGCAAACACTACCTATTATGAGTTCCCCTGACCCAATTAAGTGTTTAACAGTATGTCACTAGCACAGTACATAGAACCTGCTTTCACGGCCACACCTAATTGCCATAGAGACTAGGGACTGTAGTCTTTATCCTAAATAGCCATGTGCTCAGTAAAATAACCAGGACTCTGACTATGCAGTGCTATTTCCTAAAAGCTCCTAAGGAACTGTTGGTATTTTGGGTGGGAAAATCCTTTGTGTAAATGGGTCCCTAGTATTGTTGTATAGTAACACATTTTCATTACATTGTAGTTATTTGTTTATATGTTTCCTCCTTTTTCTTCTTATGTAAAAGCTTTTTAAGGTCAGAAGATGGATCTTACTAATCTCTGTATATCTAGACCTTACACAGCACATAACAGATGTTCAATAAGTAATTATTGATTTATGTATTTTCATTTTATCTTGGGCTTTCTAGAGGTTGTCTTACACATATACTTTACTGAAATTGTCAGGGTTGGGAACCATATGTCTTTGTACCCCTGGTTCTTGTCTGATGCTTGATCTCTATATAATAGGCCCTCAATAAATGATTACAAGCATGGATGGATAGATAAATATATGGAAGGAAAAAGGAAGGATGTACATAGGAGAGCAGCTTCAGCTATCTTAGCAGGCTGGCATTGTGGAATTGAGCCACTATATGCTTTGTGCTGAGTGCTAAGAATACAAAGACAGGTCCCAGCTGTTGGGAAGGCATAGGCTATTGTGAGGACCACCAAGAAGACATAATTTATGATAGAAGGTGTAAGTGATACTGGAAGTAGGAAGGGATCATCAGAGAAGGATTTAGGGGAAGATTATAACCTGAATATTTAGTCTCAAGTCTTAAAACACAGAATCATGAGTAGGAACCAGAGGAAAGAATAGAGAGCCCGGCCGGGCGTGGCTCAGTGGTTGAGAGTCAACCTAGGATCCCAGTCAGGGCACATGCCCAGTTTGCGGGCTGCAGCCGATCAATGACTCTCTC